AAAAAAAAAAATTGAAGATTTACTGGCGCCCGCTCGAGTCACTCGACGATCAACGGGACTACAGGTGTTACAGGTATTTACGTACAAGCTGACGTTTCGGGGGATTTCGCCTTCTTCAGAGCCTGGAAAGGTCAAGTTAACCGCAGTCTACACGGCCAAACACCTCCATAACCAAACAGAGAGAATACTGAGCCAAAATTCCAATCACACTGAACACGGAGTCTTTGAGCACTCATCGCTTTCTACTGGGAGTTCTGGTTCAGCAATTTCTCTGTTTGGTTATGGAGGTGTTTGGTCGTGTAGGTTGCTGTCAACTTGACCCCTCCAAAGTCTGAGGAAAGCGAAATACGCCGAAACGTCAGCTTGTACATAAATAAAGAAATAAAATAACATTTCATGTTTGCTAAACATTCTAAACACCACCAAAAATAATCAAATGTGCGGGATAATCTGATGACCAATCTCACTGCATTTAGCGATGCAAAGACCTCTCACGCAAAATATCAACTTTCATTGCTTATATCTCGCCATTGCGAATCCATCTATGATAATTCGATGCTCTTCTTCAATAAGCATACATGAGGTTGGTATTATAAAATTTATTAGGATACAAAAGCTGACGTTTCCGCAGTTTCGCCTTCTTCAGAGCCGTCTATTCGTTGTAGGTACTTCAATTAGGATTCAGCGAGATGACACAAGCACAGTACTCGCCAATGTATTACCCTGTGCAGCTGCTATCCACAAATTAAATGAAATACTTACAACGAATGAACGGCTCTGAAGACGAAACCGCCGAAACGTCGACTGTTGTATTCTAACAAATTCCATACTGCTAACCTCGCGTCAGCTTATTGAAAAAAAAACGTCGAATTATTAATCAACGCCGAGGCTAATAGAAAGGCGGTCTTGGAAACTGATACATGAAGTGCCATCCGTGATAATTTCAGGCACTATGTGGTAAATACAAAAGCCATCATATACTGGAAGAGGTCCGTGATTACTTCGCGGAAGGAGTCATTCACGCTGCTCACGTTCTTCGAAAGAATGGGAAAAAAGATCGATGTAGAAGGAAGATTCGTACGCGTCCATTTATGCCCACATCAGAAACATTAAGTATCATTTCACTTCACATGTGAACACATGCTCATCCTCTTCACATCGTCATGAATTTTTATTCTCCATGTTGAGACTAACAAAGTATCAATAGAACTAATGCAAGTATATATTTCAATAATAGACAACTATCACAAAATAAAGGCGATAACGACGAATCCCATCACAATGGAATTTCCAATCCACAACCCAAAGGTAGAATTTCATCATTGAAATATGAAACACAGAAAGTCGTGGAAATTTCAAATGGGATATGAAAAGTACGCAGAAAGAATACCTCATGATTAACCCACGTTTTACAATGAGCTAAGTAAACATTGAGAATGATGTAAGAAAAACTGGAGCGCAAATTTGCGCTGTCGTTGCGAAAACGCCAAACCGAAAATAACACTCTTTCTGGCTAAAAGTAAGTAAAGCAAACAAGAGCAATGGATAAACATTCAAGCAGATCTACGACAGTTCGAACAACGACGAGTGACTGTGCACGGAAGGCAGCAAAGGAAAACAAGGCCAAGAGGGAAGGTGAAAATTGTAAGCAGTATAAGACATAACATGCAGCACATATCCGTCTCCTTCGTTATCACGCCAACATGCTGAAAATACTACGAAACAGTGATACCATGAAGAAAAAGCAGAATACAACGATAAATTGGAGCTAAATGGCGAGTCGAAATCTATTTTCAGCAAGTTTCAAACGAATAAAAACATTAGTCAAACGCACGCAGTGAGGACAATTGAATCCACTCGAAACTGAAACCACAACCTGAGTGGGTGGTACTACTTGCGGCTGCGGAGCCTGAGGAATTCCTAAAACACTTCAATCTGTATAATTTACACAGACATCTGGGCTGTCAGCGGATTTGAAAGAATGACGGTATTTCACCCTATAAATCTTTAAAGCACTAACAAACTCCATACATGGTTAACAAATTCGAACCGATGTCTGTTTTTTCTCTAACTAGAGGCATTTTTTTAATAACTCAATTGTATGAGAACCCTAAGACTTGACAAATTTGTGGGAACATTCAGACCTTAAAGTAGGCATCCTTTCCCTAAAATAACAAATTAATGCAAAAATAAGGCGCATTTCGTCACTACGAAATTTTGAAATGCATGTTCCAGTGATTATTTCATTTCTATATTAAAGCAGAAAATTTCTTTCTTTTTTTAAGACATAGAAAAACTTTAGAAAAAACTTTCTCAAGGCTGAATTATTACCCAGTTTTCTACGCAATACTTCCCTGAAGCTTACCGGCAACAATTTTGAATCGCTTCAAATGATTGCTCAATTTGTGAAGATCGCGTCGCTTTCTTTCACCCTTTCAACATTGACGTTAAACAACGGCATGGGCAGGATACATAATACGTACGAGCGACAAGCGATAGGACAAAGCCGTTAGCAAGTCAAATCTCGGGATTTCAAAGGCACAACAGGATGAAACCGAGTCTCCAGAACGCACCTCTCTCTTTTGCCTGGGTTCAATGCCGATTTTGGTTCCCCAGATCAATCCCGTTGACGGGTGATTGCCAATGGCAAAAGATCGATAGAACTAGCTGAGAGACAGGCAAAACGAAGGACCTAGATGGTGTGGTGGTGAAGTGCGCTATTCCCCGAAAAGGACAGTAGCGCGCGTTCGTTCCCCACCGCATACGCCTGCGGTCCGGAGTTTTGCAAATATCCCAGCATTATATACGAGTTATATTTCGCAACATACCCTATCATTAAAAGAAAGAAAAGGCAGTAAATAAAGGGTTAAGATTGTGTATTTCTATTTATTTATTTTATTTTATTTGATCCGTCTTCACGTCTACTGTGCGGAACCCAGCACTTCTCACATTCGATTCGTTTCCTCGCAACCATTGTCCATGAAGATCTTCCATCTTTTAAGCGTAACTTCGGTTGCTGCTTGAGGATTTTCATTTTATCTTAAATGTCGTAGAAAGCTGGCCGAGCAATTCTCTCTTGAGTCCTGAGATAGCCGGACTGGAGCATTCCCAATTGGATTGCAAAGAATGATTTTTCTCCTAGACAAATCCTGTACCAATTTCCCGATCCATTGATATCAATCGCATTGAAAACAGAGTGGATTCTTCGCCCACTCAACGCTTTCCATAATTTTTCCACTGAGTATTTCATATGGAGACCAACTAGAGTCCACATGGAAGTTTAATGTGTCTCTCAAATTAAAACTTCAGTCTGTAAAACTCCAGAAGCAAAATAAATAAATTCCAAGAAACTTAAAAGGAACCACAAGGAGGAATACCTCGCAATCACTTGTGATCTGCCGCAGTTTTTAAGACATACTTTAATGTGAGAGAAGGACATTATGCTTTTATCTTGAACTCAGTGCGGTTGGTCTCCAGTTGACATACTAAGCAAAAGACTCATAGATAGTGGTCAGTGTGTGAAGAAGCCGCTGTATTTTCAATGAGATTGAAATTTCGGTTAAGTATTTTTTCTGTTTGGTTATAGAGCTGTTTAGCCGAGTAGAATGCAGCTAACTTGACAGGCTCTGGAAAGGATGAGATATCCCGGAACATCAGGTTTACCGTCAATAAAGAATTGAGTAACACCTCGCGTTTGCTCATCGCGAACAGGCAGAATCAGTGTCACGAAATCGGTGAAACCCTGGACAAACTGCACAGATGTGCACCACCATGGTAGAAGGATATGATTAGATTTTCATGCAAAATTCTAGAAATCATTCCACACAAAATAACGGTAGAATAAGGTGGACCACGAAACCCACTAACGAAATATCACCTTTCTAAATTCACCTCAATTACAATTAATATCTGAGAACATCTTCAACAAAACAGCTCTTGAAAATGTTTTCGAATCATTCATTTCCAGAACTTTATAATTTTACGTCACTGAGTTAAGCAAATCTATACCTTGTTAAAAATTCTAAAACATAAAGACTTTAATAGTTCTACATTGATTAATAAACTTGTGTGAAACATGACATGATTCAAAGTTGATGCTGTGGAACCGCATTTACTTTTGCCCCAAGAAAGCATTATGTTAACTTTAAACTTGTTTAAAATTTAATTTGTTGGAAAAAAGAAAACTCGGGATATTAAAGTTCTTCGCGCTAATGTGTCGGGAGTGAAGATTTTCCTGATCGGTGAAACCTAGCTTACTCTTTGAGATACCAGCCTTACTATGCCAAAGGCGAAGAAAAATTGGCGAAATGAGGATAATTATAGCTTCAATGTGTTATAATAATGAAGACTTCATTTTGTTAGTAAAATCACGTCAATTCAAATACGCTTTGTTTTAACCAATTAAGTGCGCTATGAGCTGTTTGTTTAAAGTTGAAAGGCCTACATACTTCTGATCATGCATGAGTCATCTACGATTCCTACGGACGTTAAAAGTGCTAAATTCAGTTCTTGGGAAGAATACCCAAAGAAGACGAATTCTATACATTGATATAAAACTATGGTTTGTATACACAACGGTGTGCATTCTATACAACCATTCGTGTCGAATCAATTGGCCGGTATGTGCTATATAGAGGTCACTTTCTTTAGATTGTTCTATTTTTCCGCATAGAACTCTTTCCCTAAAATTATTGCAAACCGTCAACAGTTAATTCAGCACAGATGTAGTGTTGAGCGCCAACAGGGAAAAGCTCATTTGTGCGCTTGGAAGTACTCAACTTTTCTTCGAACAGGTTGTAATCTGACAGGAAATTAGTTGTTATTGCAATCCTAATCACTACAATTAACTGCCATTCCTGTATGTAATGTGCGGACACAGAAAATTCCGAGACAGACACAGCATAAGTTGCAAAACACTTTCAAATGATGACAGCACACTTTTTACGATGGACCAAAGTGATATGTAGTAAATAATAATAAAGATATTATAACACCTATACAGCACTACGGAAAACTCTCGCTTATAGTAGTGTTCTGTTCTTAACCACCCAAATTCTCCAACTGTCCAAGAATTATCGTTTAAACCAAATAACCCGTCAAAAAAACCAACAGTAAATAAAGGTAGGCGTAATCTTAAGCGGCAGGTCCACTAAATCCCGTGCATCGTCCATGTGTTAAAATACGCAATACAAAACATTGTACTATGAGACTCACCAGCCGTACTAGTAGCGTTGTAGACAGGAACTTGACCGGCCTGAATGGGAAAGGTAGGCTTTGGTGGATAACCAGCATAACCAGTGGATGGAGCAGGCATGGGTGTCATTCCACTACTTGGATATGGTGTGGTAGGACAATTCATTGCCATCTGATACGATGGAGGTGGCACGTCGTAAGGTGTGGAGTCCTTCAAATAGGTAATATATCAATTTTGAACAATTTGAAACATTTTAACAAATTCAGCGTTACGTACTTGCACAGTTCCACGGTATGCCTGATTGAAGTTAGCACTTACTCCTTGTGATGGCTCATTACTTCTCAAGTCAGATGGTTCCACATTGCTGTAATTGAGTATAGAGTATAAGTTATCAGGACTCAGGCCTTCTGAATATTCACTTCACCATCAACAAAGAACTTCCAGCAAACTCAAACGTATTACATATTCTAAAGCATTCTTGGTCATGACAATCAATCGTGAAACAAAGGCAAAAAATTAGTGATATAGTATATGCGAGCGACTGCACGCAAGAAAGCTCTCATAATTCACGATGTAGATAGAGAAGATGAGAAGATAAGATGAAAAGTAAAGTTCTACTGCATATGATAAGAAGATTAGCTATTATGTTATCTTCTATGAAATCTCTGAAAAAAGACCAAGGATATGTCATCAAATAGAATTCAGCTTCTTACATCGTCCTCGAGCAGCCGCTCAATTTTCTAGTCCCACTTTCGAAGGTTTAAATATTGTAATGCATCAATTGGTAGAGCAAATAATCGAAGGAATCTACCGAGGCAAACCTTCTCTGTGATCTATATTATGGAGGAGATCTGAAAACGCCTTATCTACGCTACGTCAAGATTAATCACCTGTATCTCCTGGAGTCTCGCCGACCGTCGAGTGACTCGAGTAAACGCCAATAAACCTTCCATTTTTCCCTGTTTCGCGCAAGAGCAGTCCTGTCGGTTCTCCTCGCTCTAGGGACTCGTTAAGCATCATGCCTTTCTTCTAGGCTTTTAGCGAAGAACTACGACCACTCCGTGGGTGGTCTTCCTGTAGTACATTCGATATCTTGAGGAATCCAGTCACTAACGGCTCTTTTTCATCGGTTGTCGTTCATACGAATTACGTGTCCGGTCCACCTTATCTTCGACAGCTTGGCGTATAGAACGACACCTTTGATTTTTGATCATTCACGCAGGTCGGAGCCTAGAATCCCTCCCCTTACTTGTGTGACATACAATGCTCCTTGCATCGTCCCTTCGACTGCGCGTTCGACAACGTTGAGTGACCTTTCATCCTGCTTACGCAGCGACCAAGTTTGTGACGCATACGTTAGGGCAGGAAGTAATGTTGACTCGAAAAGGTGGGCACGGAGTCGGGTGTTCTTTGTTTTCTTCACTACATCCTCGATGCCCTTGAAAGCATCCCTAAGCCGCTCGTTTCCTTCTTCTCATCTCTGGAGCTAGGTCCTTCATCATATTGATTTCCCAACCTAGATAAACATAACTGGAGCATTCGGAGATATTGTTTCCGTTGAGGGGCGTGAATTTCCGTGAATGGTGCGTGCGAAACCAACCTGTTTCTCATGAACATCGTTTTTGTGAGATTTAGTCTAAGACCAATCTTTACACAGGCTCTATCAAAGTGGGCAAGCATACAATTTGCTTGGCTAATGTTTGGTGTTATAAGGACGACGTTATTTACATAGCGAAGATGGTGTAACTGCCGACCGTCGATTTTCACTCCCATATTATCCCATTCCAATGTTCTCATGGCGTTCTAGAGGGTGGCGGTAAATAATTCTAGCGAGATGGTATCGCCTTGCCTAACTCCTCTTTTGACGTCAATGTTAATATCGCTGTAGAATAGTGATATCTTGTTTTTTTTGTAAATTTTTTTTTGTACAGCTCACGAAGAATCTTTATATACTGAGTAGGGACCTCTTGACTATCAAGGACTTCCAAGGCCGCTTCTTTCTCAACTGAATCAAAAGCTTTCTTTAAATCGATGAAAGTGAGACAGAGCAGTATTTCAAGCTCTCGCAATACTTCAGTGAGTGACTCGTTGAAGTGAAGACTAAGTAAGCACAAATTGCTCCAACCAGCGATCCACCGCCCCAGCACCTCGCATCTGGATACTCTCGCCCACAATGTCATGGGTTTAGAGAGCTAGTGATAGAGGATCAAATCTAGGATTATGCATAATATCAATGAAACTAAATTTAAAAAAACCTTCGTGAAAGTACGAATGCATTAAATTTAATTTCAGCGCTCTGTAAGCGTCAAAAAGCAGGGAGACTGACATATGTCGTTTGAATGATAGGACTCTTGTTATCCATGGAAAAAAGACGCTGTCACAAAATGTTGTCCTTCCCTGAACTAATTATCTCGTCAAATCGTACAAGATCCTTTCCTCTCGTTTGATTATCAGTTTCTAAATACAGTCAGCATTCCCAATAACTACTCATCGACCAGAGCAGCTGACACGGTAACACAACACACATGATAACGGGTGAATTCGACTTAAGCTTCAGCTCTAACTGAGTTCAATGTCGGTTAGTGCTCCCACATCATTCCCGTTAAGAGATGATTGCTGATGGCACTATTAAGCTAAAAACTAGCTCAGAGAAATTCAAAGTAAGAACATCAGCGGTGCAGTGCAAAACGCGTGAGACTCCGGAAACGGCAATCGCGGATTCGAAGCTCACCTAGCAATCCGAGTTTTGCCCATATCCTAGCATCATTGCACACATGAGATCACTATTACCACCTCCGATATGGAATTGATACCGCAAGTTCTACGCTAACCATTTCTGTTCCACAAATCCTATTTCGGATCACAAAGTGCTAGTTGGAGAAAATCCGTCCGGAATTCTATTGTCTGAAGTTCGAGTTCCAATAGCGAGCTTGCAACCCATAACAAGAACCACCCGTAATACCGCACCCGACATCAATAAAGTGGGAAGCCACTAATACGCGTACTTTTCGCAACCCATATGAGAGCCTTCAAAAGAAAAAATTCCGACAGTTGGAGGAGTTCGTGTATTGTCATCCTGCCAAAGAAGGATGACTTTCGTAAGCATTGTCCGATGTGCTTGCTAAGTGTGTTCTCTAAGGTGTTCGCAAAAATTACCGTGAGTTTCATCGTAAAAGAACGAAAGCAGTTTTTCCACCACCACTTAGCAATCGCATAGGACAAGTTGGTTCAGCAAGCTTTAGAATCTTGCCAAAGTTATTTTCGACGCCACTTCCGAAGTCGGTTGACTACGACGCAAAGGACTCAGGCCATAGAAACTTGGAATGGTTCACAGAAAACTCTGTGAGCCATCAACAAACAGCATGAACGATGTTCTCTGAAAGGTAGGCACACAAACGATTAGATGAGGTGAAAAGTTTCGATCCCCAAAGACTTCTCCATATTCGACACCCATGAGGTTAAATATCGAGACGCCACATATATGGCTTCGTCATACAATAGCAACAAACGACAAATAAACGAAAACAACTGAAAAGAAGACTCCACGAAGATGTAAGCACCTGCGACGACCGTCAAACAATAGGCGGAACTATTTCTAATCAAAATGAGTCAGATTCGCAGCTGCGAATACAGTGGCAGCGACGCCGTTCAATACGATCAATGCAACGATTAGACCCCGTCCCACCCTCATGAAGCCTCTCAATCCATCAGGAAATTGGTACCAAACTAGTGCGCGACCCTGCTGGCCTTTCTCCACCTCATAAAAGATGTACGACTCATTTGATGATCCTGGACAATCCTGGAATGGTCCGACCAGCATTTCAGTGAGAATCCACATGACCAGCAACAAATCCTAAAACAGTAGCGGAGCTCACAAATACGAACACCTTCATGGATAACTAATCCGACGAAACGAGTCCAATACAAAAAGTTCTGTGGCCTGCACAACCCGTGATGTCGGATAGTACAAAAAAAATTAGCAATGGCTAGCTATACACACTAATGAATAAAAGACAGCAATAAATTGCAAACAATAGGAACTCGGCATAATAGTAACCGCTAAGAACGACAAAAATTATAATAACAATACACAATCACAGTGATAATTAATTTAATGGAAAATAATATTGATTGGTGGGAGTAATAACAGCAACAATAAAAAGAATAATGAAAAGAAACGGTGATGATAATAATGATACTAACAAAAAAATAGTGGTAAATAAAAGGATACAACTCTAACCGCTGATCAATCCCTGAGGGATGTGCCATGCAGTCGACTTCACTAAACATCGCTTGACGTGAATGAATACATATTTAGCCTTTACAATGACTCGCGGTGGCTTACCGATGAACCGAATCAGAGCTGCTGTACTCCCAGACAAGTATGGTAACAATCTGCCGACCTCGGAAGGATGGAAGGCTTGGTGAGACACAGGCACGGGGATGGATCCCATGGTTGCATCGCGGGGCGCCTCAGACCACTGGGCTACACGCGCCATAATGGAATAATAGTAATAATGATAACAGCGATGGTGGTAATAACAATGATAATACTTACTTACTTGGATGGCCTAATTTCACCGACTGTGCGGGTCCCAGCATAACTTCCACTTTTCGTAGTTTTGCTGGCTTATCCAATATGGTTCCCTGGAGTTCCGAGGTCAGCCTCAAAGTCTGCCGAGGTCCTCACTATCACAGGCAGTCGCCACCCTTGTGAATCAGAGGGAGATTTTCCACCATGTGACTTTGATACCAAGACAGTGAGTCCTGGAAATGGTTAGCTCTTACCTGAATTTCCTGATGGCAACGTCGGACTCCTTCTCAGCTTGGGAGACCCTGGTGAAGTGATGAATCACCCAGCTGTACAACCCAGGAACACCTCACGGTAACGATGAGGCGGTAAACTAATAATAGTAGTAGTAACAATAATAATAATAATAATAATAATAATTATTATTATTATAATGATAATAATAATAACAGTAATAATAATGATGATAGTAATGATAGTGATAATGATAATAACAACGGTAATAATGACAGTAGCTAACCGCGATATAGTAGACAACAATATTTAATAACAAACGACAAAAACTACATGTAGTAGGTTGAATGCGAAACACTGTAATGAGAACGAATGTGGCCAAAGTTACCTCAAATGTAGACTTAGAACGAACCTCATTGTTTGCCGTTCTTCACGCAAAATTGGCGGAGCCGAAGGAGCTCCTTCCGTAGAAGCATGTGGCATAGAATTCTTCTCGTTTAACATAACGATCTAAAGACAGACAATAAAGAAAAAACGTAAGACTGGCTGATCAACGGTAACACGATGAAACGGTAACAACGTTACTAGTTCCCATTACAAAACCCATTGCAAAGTTGTTTATACGCAACAATATATAAGAAACATCACCAAATTATACATTCAGGGGTAAATTGAAAGTAAACGAATCTCAAGAATACCTCTGTTTGCAGTCAACAATCAAACGATGTGAGGCTAACAAACTAAAATACAGCTAGCTAAGATATCAAAACATACCCTACACGCTAGGAAGGAACTGAATATATTGATTGGCACCGTGTAAACATCAACAAATACATCAAACCAAGGCTAAAAACAATAAACAAGCCTTCGATCGATGTGTCTCTTTCTAGGACCTGCAAGGAATTTTAACTATCGTAGACCATTCAAGGCAAAACAAACAAAAAAACCGTAATGGTGAACTACACTTTTTTTTCTTTTACCAAACTTGCTGCTTAAACTTCGAAAACGAAATCTCGCGCAAAGTTTATAAATATGGCCTTAGGCTTCGAACTATAAAGATTAAGAAGTGATTAAAGAAATGTGACATAACCAAAAACCACTGACCACAACACTGCATACCTACAAAAATATACCTACCGTATGCTACAAAAGTACAACAAAAGAATGAGAACAGGTGAAACGAGAGCTCAATTCCATCACAACTCAAAGACATACGATGAGCCAAGGAAAGTAGTTAGCGCACAGAAAGATGCCGGTGTTCACTGGCCCACTAAATCAAACTGATGTAATTTCTCTCAGCACAACTTAACTTCTCACTTATGGCCATATTTAACCGTAAAAGCTAAAAGGATTAAGCTCTCAGCGATGATGAATCCCTGAAAGATGCGCCATCCATTCTAATCCATTCGTAGCACCATAGAGTTCATATTTGACCTTCACAATAACTCGCGGTGGGCCACCGATGTATCAAACCAACCCTACTATCCTCCCAAAGAAGCCTGGCACTTATCTGCCAACCCTGAAGAGATGGAAGGCTTTGTGAGCCTGGAGCGCGGGGATCATCCCATATGTATTGCGGGGTGCCTCCTACCACTACGCCAACATCAAATCATACCTTTATAATTAACTAGGTGAGCGTCCTGGACTAGTTAACAGTTTGTATACGATGTGCTGAAAATCACAATCAATCGACATTTGAACGAAAAGAAAAACAAACTACAAGAATATCAAATAGAATAAAATTACATCTCATTGGAATTTGTAATGGCATGTCGTCTGCTACTGTAACAACGTGTAGTTCGTCACGAAACATGTAACGAACATGCAACATTTTCGCTTCTCCGGGACAAGGATCATAAAATCCCGGTAGCTGACTCTAGAATATAAATTTTCGAAGTCAACATCAATTCCGTACTATGAGAGAATCCAAACGTACTTTCACCGAATAAATCCTTAGTTGTGAATCATTAACCATGGCTTGAAGAGGGATCGTAACATCAATAGTCTTGTCACCAGCTAGAATATATGAAGACGAACCAGTCAACTCACATTGCCCGTACCTATAGATCTAATCTTCAGTTACATCTAACTATGTCAGTTTTTACTGCCAGTGATAAATAAATGGAAAGTCGAACGTGCAGTATATGACCGCGTAAACTGGAAACCAAATCACATCCAGTCTAAGGTAAAGGATAAAGGACAAAGCTCTCGGCTTTGATCAATCCCTGAGGGATGCGTCATGCATTCAACTTCATTAAGCATCTTTTGGAGGTGACTGAACGCATATCTGGCCTTTACAGACTCATGGCCGCGGTGGTCGGGATAAATCAACGTCGAGTGCTTTATCCTTCCAATCCAAAGTAGTTATAAAAATGTACAAACGCTTAAGTAGACCGGTTGCATGTATTAATTTAATTGCAGAAAACAAATTGAACTACTTTCGCGTTAAATCATAAGACAACTGCAGAACCCGAAGTAGAAAGTTTACCACTTTTCCGCCAAATTCCAGCGCCTGAGATAATTTAGTTGAAGCAAAAAATCTCACAATGAATATATTTGCGCTAACAGTGAACACAAAATGTGAGAAAGTTTCCAAAACTTTTTTGTTCGTGCCACTAACAAAACGGACATGTTGACCCTTTATTTGCTGCTTACTACAATTTTCCACGGCAGGGTATTATGTGAAATACAACCTAAATGATGCTAGGATTTCGATGAGATTAAAATGAATGAAAAAGAAAAAGTTAACACTGTCATTTCGATTATAGCCTCAGTTTAACTGATTCAATGCCGATTTGCGCCACCCATATCAATCCCGCCAACGGGTGACTGTTGACGGCACCGTTAGGCAGGAAACTAGCTGAGAGAAACGCAAAATAAGGGTCTCAGTGGTGCAGTATGTAACACACGAGCACCTGGAAAGGGCAGTCGCGTTTCGATCTGCCTTGGGATCCAAGTCTTGCGAAGATGAATACGATTAAAAAGTTATTACCTCCCTTCCAAAATCACTATCCCGAATTTTTGTTGCTCTTCACGACGAATACGATCAGCAGTTGGGCGCATCAAATTGACTATTCGTCCAGACTCTTCTTGTTTAACTGTATCAACCTAAAGTACAAGGTTCCGATGTGGTAAAACATCACAAACGAAAACCGATGTGTATCTCACGAAAATCATCCGAAATAACTTACAGTCTAGTTCATTAGACAGATTTCACACCTTTACTTTACTGAACAATGGAAACCTTACAATAGCCAACAGCAAGGTTTATGTATGAGAAAACTAGAAGACATACCTCACGATCACGACTATGATCATCAAACAGTGCCGCAAAACCGTCCCACCACCTCCTAAGCAACACCTGAATTTTGTTTTAATGCAAGAAAAATAAAATCCAGTTTTCGTACTGAAAGTACAATGACGCAGAATGCTAATTACCTTCGTAGTAAGATGAAATAAAACTAGAGGCACAGCAATACCATAAATAGTGCTCCTTGCTAGGGCTTCACGATCGTCACATAGCACCAACTGCCATTCAAAAGATGACTGACCGACCTTCAACCTTGAAACTTGATGATAAGCTCAGAGTAAGGAGTCATCACAGTTCTTGCACTTTATTGCTTAACCTCTGCAATAGACAGATCAACCGCAGTTTTCGCATTTACAAGAGTATTTTCCGTGTTTGGGGCACATGTAACGCAGTGGTCCGACGCCTCCTGCAATACACATAGGATCGATCCCCACGACCCAGGCTCACAAAGCCCTCCATCCCACCGAGGCTGCCAAATTGGTACCAGACCTGCCTGCCACGATAACAGCATTGACTTGATACGTCGGTAGGCCACCCCGAGCCATTGTAAAGACCAGATATGCACTCAAGCACTTTAAATGATGCTTAATGAAGTCGAAAGTACGGCGCATCCCTCAGGGATTGATCAACGCCGACAGCTTCTTCCTTTTTATCCATTATTTTTCGTGAGTTTCTTAACCTCAAAATAAAGTCACTCACTTGAATTTAGCGGAAAACATGCACGATGGAAAAGAGAAATTAACAGCGCATCCAATGCGTGAAAACCTTGATAGTCGTCTTTCAAAATGCAGAGATGGCGTTACTCCTGAATATAAATTTATAGAAAATTGTTTCACAACTGAGCCGTAATGACGAATAATAATGTAACCAAGACAAATGCTTGAAAGGAAGTAACGCCAACCAACCAAACATCGAAAGTTGTACAGAACTTTCTGTGAAAGCGTCATGCTCGGGATTCCGAATATAGTGCATCAAACGAATATTTGAATTTGTTGGCGATAACTGAACGGAAAAAGAAGTAATGGAAAACAGCGACCACAGTGATAACAACGATTAACCCACTGTGAGATTCATGACAGCTTTTGGTTGATTATTTTCAGTATGCACAAGCGTTGTTGTGATGGAACTTTGAACGGGAGTCAAATTTAGCACAATACTTCCTTGCCAACGAACACGCAGCCTCATCGAATATACTAAGACACAATATGCAATATGAATAAAGTTTACTTTACAAGGAATAGAGGTAAAAAATAAGCTTTACATACCTAAACCAAACACTTCCATTAACTAAGACCATGCATCCACGGGTAAAGCCCCGCCCCCTCGAACTTAGTCCCGGCATCGCAGGGCACCCCGAGCTCCGAGGCCAAACCCATGGCTTGTGGGAAACCCAAACACTCAGACAGCCCTCCCAACTTTCTCGATAGACAAAAACATACATTCCCAAAAACAAAGGAAGCAAAAATAAAATAACAACACAAAAATAGGAAGAATAAGATAATACAAACTCAAGGTCAAAGCAGGTACAAAAGATTCCTGCATTGGGAAATACTGCAACGACGGCTGGATAACAATGGCAGCTCGAGTGTAAAGGCTTCGGGCAACACGACAAGATAGATTTAGTGCATCACCAGATGCAGTAAAAGTATTCTAAATTACACTACAGCACCTTCGAACAAACACTGGACAAACATCAGGAAAGAAGATAACCTCTAAATGGTACTGCCCGGCACTTTTCTTCCATATAAGCGAAACGTTTCCATCCCCTCTCCCATTGCCAGTTTTAACACGTCCTGTGAGACCTATTCGACTTGTTGCTGTCATAGCACAGTCTACCGCTTGAGTAATTGATATCCCAATTAACTGCGGAGGATATCTCAAAAATCTAGTTTTTCAAAAAAATGGCTAAAATATGAATATAAGCACACGTTGACAAAACAATCTTTCAAGTGCGTAATGAACTTTAAAAACGTTCACACCTATCACTTGGTTCCTCAAAGAACAGACCGGCAAACGATGTCTTCACGATGAATCCACTCTGAACTGTTGGATGAATAGGTGAAATAGACTCATGTTAAGAAATCAGAAAAACTTACAGATGGATGCACCCTTTGCATCATCAATTCTTGTTCTTTCAATCGTTTCAGAAAATCGTACTCTCGTCTAATATTTTCAGGATTGGATGACTTTGATACGAGATCCCATCCTTGGGTGTCAAGACCCTGCACACCAAGAGCATCGTATATAGCACGCTTTTTCGGATCAATGAGGGCTAAACAATAAAGGGCTAAACACCAGATCCAAATGTACAAAGACACTTCTCTACGAAATGAGTCACGCACATCGCAGTTATAGTCACTGTCTGGAAAAACAATAGGTTTCAAACCGACCGTCATTTAACCCCAACAGTAATAATCAATAGTTTCTTGGACTGTTAAGTTAACACGGGGGTTGATGAACAGATCTATTCGGCTAACGCTACGACGACTTCCTCTTCATCTGATGAAGACCAAGATGTCGAAACACCAGCCGAACAAATCTATTTATGCTCTCTGGACGGCATTACAGAACACTTCAGTCGTCCAATCATTCAAGACAAAAAATGGTCCAAATTTGCAAGTGTACATTACAAGACACACTTTCATGGGCTCGTCGGAGTTGAACGAAAATCTTCTCGGCTTCTTTCCTATCCTCTTCTTCAGAATGGCGATCAGGATGGAAGATTAGGCAACGTTTACGATATGCTTTGTTTATTTCGTCCTCTGTTGCCTATAAATATGGCGAAGCTTAAACAAAGCATCCAACGATGACCATAAAGGAGAATATATAGAGTGACACGAATGACACTGTCAACACCTCGTCTCTGCTTAGCGATCAGATTTCAAAAAAGAAACTAAGAAAAAGATTCCAGGTTAACGAACCAGTGTATGTTTACTACATAGAGGCGCGTGTATCGTACTGATTGCTGGCGCCCACCAATAAACATGGAGTCGATCTCCACGCCCCAAGGTCACCAAGCCCTCCATCCCTCCGATGTTGGAAAATTGGTACCAGACTTGTCTGGGAGAATAGCAGCACTCACTTGATACATTAATATGCTACCGCGAGTCATTGTAAAGGCCAAATACGCATTCAATCACCTCCAACGACGCTTAATGAAGTACAATGCATAGCGCATCCTTCAGGGATTGATCAAGGCCGAAAACTTCAGCCTTTATCCTTTTATTATGCTTCCCACATATACTTCTTAGCCTCTAGAGAAGGAGAATAGCCTTATAATCAACGAGAAAAAAGCTTACATTTTTTGGCACATTTAATATGGCATAAAAGTCAATATCTTCTTCATCATCAAGAAAGAGGTCCTGGTCGTTATCGCCACAAAGTGAGCTACCCGTTGACACTGACATCACTGAAAAGTTTCAACCACCAAACAATGTGTCAGTCTAGGATGTATCCGTATAGACCTATAAAGATGTGATGACAATCACAATGAGTAGCAAAGCGATGTCACTGGCATAGAACTGTACAAACAAAGATGAACAGCATATGAAATCGAACACTACGACACATGAAGAAAACAACATACAGTATGGGAAAGTGTATTGAACAAGATAACATAGCTTGCAGTACCTATAAGTAGCTGTCCTTAACTCTTGAAGTACCGACAAACACTCCTAGACGTAGACACAAAATCTGCAAATGGGAAGCGATGACGTAAAATAGAGCGCATTGTGTGAGCTTTCGCGTCAAAACTGAGGACAATTCTCTCCCCTATCGATAAAAAACCGGGAAAGTAATATTATTAAGTATTCGATGCTTCGATGTGATGAGGAAAGGAGCACGGTTGTGATGTCGGGGCCAGTAGCTTCCTTAATCTCGTTCTTCATGGAAGGAAAATCGCAGTGACTTCTAGTACGCTTTGTATAAACTGGTATAGGAAGGACAAAAGTATGTTATACTAGAGAGAGGCAAAGAAATCACGCTAGATTCTTGTTACTGCAGAAGTCAAACAGTAGAATGTAAGAATCGAAATGGCTAAACTTTGACCGCCAAGGTATGGTGATCGCTTTTATTACGCAAATTCATACAGAAAATATATAAGTAACAGTAATATGTGATAATACTTACTTGATACTTAAATGACTTCTCCTCACTAGTTCTGCGGGCCCCAGCATAATCTCCATTTTTTGGAGACCTGCTTGTTAAGCTGTTATGGTTTCCTGGACTCCCGAAGTCAGCCTGGCCAAAGTCTGCCCCAGGCCTTCACCACCACAGGCAGTCGCAGCCCTTGTGGATCAGAGGGACGTTTACCACTATGCGACTTTGATACCAGGACGGTGGTAGATACTGGTATTGATTTACTGCTAGCTAGGCTTCCTGATGGAAACGGCGGACTTCTTCTCAGCTTGAGAGACCCTACCGGGGGTACGAATCCCCCGCTGTACATCACCCAAGAACACCTCCCAGACACGAGGCGGTAAACCGTTGGGAGGATATGATGATAATAATGATAATAATAAAAATAATATTATAAAGGATAAAAAGTATAAAGCTGTCGGTGTTGATGAATCTCTGTGTTCTGAATGGTAGGCCTTCGAGAAAATCTTAAGAATGTGACGCTCATAAAAGGATAAAGCTCTCGACGTTGATCAATCGCTGAGGGATGCGCCATGCATTCGACTTCATTAAAGTATTGTTGGAGGTGATTGAATGCATACCTGGCCTTTACAATAACTCGCGGTGGCCCACCGATATATCGAGCCAGTGCTGCTATCCTCCCAAACAACTTTAGTACCAATTTGCCGACTCCGGACGGATGGAAGGCTTGGTGGGCCAAGGGCGCGCGGATTGATTCCACGTGCATGTCGCAGTGGGGCCTTCAACCGCTGCGCCACACACCCGTCTGCACACTGGGAACACGATCTAATTCCTTGGAAGAAGAAATGATATAGGTTGAAAAAAAATTGCGTGTCCTGCTCTCTCCAGTCGTCGAATCACATGCAAACTAACTTTGACACGTAGAATGCGATTTGTGAGAACCATAAGAAAACCAAGCTCACATGGATACCTAGGCCCTTCGCTACCATGTGTAGTGCATAACCTAGCACTCCCTTCCATTCTTCTCTACCATTCGCAATCACTGTCTGTGGTTGCGATCTACTTCGAGCATGAGGACATACCCGAATATTATTTCGTTGCCTATCAAATTCGTTTCAGCTATGAACACAGTTAATTTTTTAGGAGACATAAATACATTCGGCCACTTTGTAGGTGACTGTAGTGTAGTTCGAGTTGATCTTGTGTTTCAAGGTTACATTTCGGAAAATATCGTGCTAAATCTGGCTGCTGAATAAAATTCTCCACGTGGTTGAGATGCGAACACATATTTCAGTCGAATAGCAGAGTGCTCTGATCTGATCGATCACCTTTTGACTCAGAAGAAAGAAGAGCTTGGTGCCTCTAGATCACCGGTGACTTCTCTGACAGAGTTCGAACGCCACCCGTTCTGCCGTTCTTCTATTCTCACACTTCTTTCGTTCCATTTTCCTTGTTCATTGAAGGCCTTAACTACACATATGATACTGTCCGAAAACAGAACTATCCATTTTTATTTCTTTATATTGCCCAGCTTACATGGAAGTGTCAGAAAATTTTTATTCGGTCAACGTTTCTGCGTATCCCATTCCCACTCGTAACATCACGGCTCTGAGGAAGGCGAAATCGCGGAAACGTCAGCCACCGACCAACAACACCAACAACAACGACAACGACAACGAAAAACTATACCAACCTCGCATCAGCTAAACAAAATCAGTTTGTAAGATCATATAAATAAATATATCAACTATCTATGCCGAGGTTTATAGATAGTCGGTCTTTTGAGTTGTTCACAAATTCACGGTGCCATGATGGTTTAAAAAGTTTCGCCTTAGCGAACTCGACCTTCAAGGTGGCACAGGTAGCACACGTTCTTCTCCTACTGACGACCATGAATTGAAGACTTTGATGAAAGCAAAACATGTAGAAATATTCGAGAACTTGCAGGAGAACTCAGTACAAGCACCTGTTTGGAAGCATCAAAAGAAAGTTGCAAAATGGAAGAAGCTCGATAAGTGAGTGCCGCAAAAATTGAATGATAATGAATGGAATTCTCGCTTCGAGGACTCCGCGGCGCAACCAGAACAACCTGTTTCTCAACCGTATGACGTGCGGCGAGAAATTGATCATGTATGATAAATGGTGACGATCGGCTCAGTGATTCGACCGTGATAAAACTCTTCACCGCTTGTAAAAGCCGGAACCAAAAGAAAGTCATGATTAGGTGGTCGGTGGTTTGCTACTGGTTTGATTAATCACAGCTTCCTCTATCAGGATGAAAATATTGAGGCACAATAGTGTGTTCACTAAATCGGAAATGCACCAGAAATTTTAACTGCTAAGCCACGTAGTTGTGAACAGAAGAGACCATTCCTTATTCACGACAAAGCGCGGCAGTACATCGCAGTACCGACGTTGCAATAGTTTAACGAGCTGGGTTACAAAGCTCTGCCTCGTCCACCACTCTGGCCAGCCCTCCTTCCTACTAGCAAACACTTCTTGAAACAACTTGATTAATTCTTTTGTGAGAAATTGTTCGGAAACCAAACCGAGGCTAAAACTATCTTCAACAGTTTTATAACGTGCTAAATTACTGAAACATAATAGAAATAAACAAGCTTGTTCCTCGCTAACAAGATCGTCGAAATTCTAATGGTTTCTAACGGTTAACGAACTTTATTCTGAGCTGAGATATTCCACTTTAAAAATATAAGATGAAATCCGCCATTAATGTCCGAAGAGCCTGCTAGTGCTGAATGATAGCACCGTGAAGGTATCAAAAAATACCGTTTCCTTTTTGAGAGAATAAAATCAATCTCAGCAGGTCATATTTAGCATTTCCCATCTCCAGCACTGACATTCTTTTTTCCACGGAGATTTCCACGGAAGTGATTTGCTACGAAAAAAAACCCCGAGCGATGATTTCCGTTCTCATTAGGGTCGCCTATTTGAAGCTTAAAAGAAACTTAGGACGTTAGCCCCCTCCTAATCTATCGCTAATGTTTCCAACAACTCAATTACAGTCCTCGGATCCGATTACTAGCCTGCGGTGGGTATACGAGGTATTTAATTGCAGTTTCGCAGTTGGGTAGTAAGAGTTAATGATGCAATTCTTCCTTTGACAAAGTGAGAGGATCTCACATGAGTCGATGTGATGGGTAAATAGTGGTTGTATAACAAAACACATTTCGTAACAAAATATTTGATTCACGTACTCCACTCCTCCTCCTCTTTTTTCTGCAGAGCAATTTCATGGACGTAGAGCTTTAAGAATAGCGTTTTGATCCACAGCGAAGAACTCTTCTAACGATATTTCAAAAACCGCTTATACTTTAACCTCGGTTAATCAACATCTGTTTAACCTGTTCATCTTAAGCGAGGTTGTTACATAGTTTTCATTCCTCTAACGTTTAGACGTCTTCGTCTTCATCAGAGCCGATGATCCGGGTCGACGGTCTACAGTACCTCGTCTTCTCATTGTGGTGTCTTCGACTTCGTATCGAGTCGAATCCTCCTCACTGGAGCATAGAATGAGGCACACTTACTCGCCAGCGCTCATATATACAGGATGCTGGTTGTTGATAATAGTGATTGTACGGTGGCAACTTGTTTTTCCCTTGGTACTTGCTGGACTTTCCGCAATACGTTTGACACCTCGAGGAATCCATAACAGTTCATGTCCATCGGTTGCCGTTCACACAATTTACGTGTCTGGCCCACTTTTTCTGCGACAGTTTAGCGTGCACAACGGTGTCTTTGGTCTTTGATCGTTGACGAAGGTGAAAGCTTTGGATCCCTTCCCCCATTTGTGTGACGAAGGATACTCCTAGTAGCCCTTTCGACTGCTCGTTTAATAACGCTGAGTGATCTTACATCCTGCTTACGCAACTACCAGGTTTCTAACACGTAGTTGAGGCAGGAAGAATAGCGCAATCGAAAAGGAGGGAGTGTCGGGTGTTCCTCGTCCCCTTCACTACGACATCCTCGATGCTTTTGAAAGATCCCCAAGCCGCTCGTTTCCTTCTGCTCAGCTGTGGAGCTAAGTCGTTCAACATGTTGATTTCCCGACCTAGATAGACATAACTGGAGCATCCGGAGATATTCGTTCCGTTGAGCGTGAATTGGGCATAGGAAACCATTCCGTTCCTCATGAACACCGTTCTTGTGAGATTTAGTCGAAGACCAACCTTTGCACAGGCTTTATCGAAGTCGGCGGGCACTTGTTCCGTTTGGTGTAACGTTCTTGAAGGAAAAAAAAAATCAAAACTAGAAGGTAAATCTCCCGGCATTGATGTGTCCCTGAGGGATA